ATTATAATCTCCTCTGATAAGAAATGAGGGGCAAACCATCGGTGTAGGTCTTCACGAATAATCTCCAGGATCTGCACAAACATCTGATGAGAAAATGGTCGTGACTTTCACTCAAAAGAACCTGACTAACTTTCCACCTGCCCTGCAGATCTCAACAGCTTTAGAGATCCCCGTGTGATCTGCTCCAGAGCCACACACGGGGAGCTCTCTAATGAGATGGGAAAGAGGCGTGTGGGAGCAGGACAGGAGATGGGTGAGGAAAGACTGAATAATCAGTTCTTCACTAGGCCAAACCTGTCACAACTTTGTTACTTAATAGACTTCTGTGGAGAGATTACTTAGAAGCATAAATAAGCTGGTTTTTTTTAAGTCTTTAAAGGTTTAAAATACTCAGCTGGCTTCAATCTTCTGTTCTTTTTGGCCAAAACGAGAGAGAACCTGGGCAAAATGAAGTTGTTTTAGGCACCTTGGATGCAGGACTTTCGCTGAGATTTGAGCTCAGGATGTGACTGAAAGATGATGGATCTGGTATCTCTTCCAGTGTTGTCTCCATCTTCTGCTTTTCTGTTCGGTTAATTGTTGACACACAGCAACAACTCTAGGTGCCTGGGGAGAGTCACGTTTTTGGGTGAAATCCTCATAAAATAAGGTTTGAGACTATGTTTGCTGGTATTATCCAGGTGCTCGAGTACTCCCCGTTAACGGGGTTGTTTTGCTGCTCAGTTGTTTGTGCTTTGCAGTTGTGCAGCCCCGAGCAGAACCAGTGTGTCCCATCATCTCCATCCCCTGCAGCTCTGAGGAACCTTCCCAAGGCTCAGGGTGGATGAACTGGAAGGCCCCATTTTTCAGCTCTGGGCTTTTAACTCTGGTGACAGAGGGTTTTTCTCTCTCTGTGTCCAGGAAGGCTTTAAAATTGCTCCTCTGCTTTGTGACCTCGCTGTGCTTCGGTGCTCTCAGCCGGGAAACCCGGCAGGTAGTGAGTGAATCCCCTAAAAACCAGGACCAGACTTTACCCCAGGTTTTACCCAGGGTGAGGAGAACTTCAGGCCTTGGAAGTGTGATGGTGAATGTGTTCAGCACCCATGTGCCACCCTTCTGCGTTTTGGGGCAGCTGAGGGGGACACTGATGGTCCCTCTCCTGCAGATGAGGAAGCTGAGGGAGGCAGAAGAGCTCACGCCGCGGCGATGGCGCGTGCTGGAGTCCTCCCCAGTGACACGTGTGCTTTTGCCTATCGCACTGAGCCCACTGCATCTCTAGATGATCTGCGATGGGTCTTGGAAAAATAGTTTGCCATCTTTATGCATGCTTTATTATGGCTAATGAGGCTCAGAACTGAAGTTTCTTGTGCTGTTTTAAAATCCTGTGGGATTTGTGGAAAAATACGGCATTATTTGAAGCCTCTCAGCCCACTGATTGTGCCAGACTCCTAAATCTGTTTGAGTTATTAACTCACTGAAACAATGGTGTGTTGTCTTGTCCCCTCAGGGGCACCCAGGAGATGAAGCTATTGCTTTAGTGAGCGCTTTAAAGTGAGATCGTTCAGAATAAAAAGAGCTATGTGTGTCTCAAGGTACGGGTGATGAGTCTTGCCTAAAGTTTCAGCTTCTATAGCGTTCCTGCAGTGTGGCTCATGTGCATCTGTCCTTACTGGAGTAACTGTCATCGGCTGAGAGAAGCTATAAACCCTCCTGCCATCCCTTTGGGTCCAGATCAGCTACGGTTTCTAACAGCTTCAGTCCTGAGAAGGTGCTGGTTTTGCACGCTCAGGAGTAGCGTCCAAGTTGCTGCAAAGGATCCCCATGTTCTGATGAACCTGCAGAAGGTTCTGGGTTCTTCTCAGCTCCTGCAGGGTCCAGCTACCGGCACGGAGAAGCGTTTAGTAGCTGTGGCCACCTTTAGATACCTCTTGCTCACAAAGACGGTGGGAGCTCTGTGTGCTGGTGGCTTCTGCCCTGGTATGAACTGGGAGAGGGTGGCAGTCAGTCCCTCTGTCCCTTTACTCAGTGGGAAGCAGTTTGAGGTCAGGCTTCACTGGAGCCTTTTGAAAATGCCCTGTTAGGTGATGAATTTAAGGTCCCCACGCTTGCTCTTTGGCACTTGCCACTCACTAAAGCAGCCACGGGGAAGTGGGAGATGGTTCTTGCATCGCCGTGGGCACGTTGAACATCCCAGGAAGGATCTAATCCACTCTAGAAAAGGGCCAGAGCAGTGGTAAGGAGGTGAAGGGCACTGCACTGGCAGACCTGGCTTTAAGGTTAGAAACTGAGCAAATAAAGTAGAAAGGCAGTTGAGAGCCTAACAGTCAACTTTGCAACTCAACAGCAAAGTTCATGGAGCATCAGTTCTGTTTGGAGCTTTAAAAGGCGAATCTGAGCTTGGAGTCTCATCTGCACCAAGGAGGGGAATTCTGCAAGATCAAGCTGAGCTCCCGAAACTGCAGGTGTAAAATATTGTCCCGATGGTAAGTGACAATCCAGGCCTTGGTGAGTCTTCATCGGAGTGGCAGCACCAGCTTTGCCCCATGGCTGCTGCTCGGGGTATCTGTGAGCAGCGTTTCAAAGCTGAGCGAGACCATTTGTTTACTGGGGGCGTGTTACCAGGATTAAACCTAAACTTCAGAGTGTGGAAATCCTGAAGAGGAAAATGAATGCTGCTGGAGGCAAGGGGAAGGGAAAGGCTTGGACTTCACCAGCTCTGCTCTTCTTGCAAAAGCTCGTTAGCTCCGGCGGATAAGTGTGTGATTGCGTGTGACCGGCGTGCGTCCGGGCAGAGCCTGTGACATGCGAGGGGTGATGGAAGTTTGCATTCACCATCAGCCATTTCCTACCTGAAAAGGGCTGTTCTGAGGGTTGAAATGCACCACAAACAGGCAGGTTGCTGCCTCCATTTTCCAAGTAGAAAACAGGCGCAGAGAAATAACGGGCTAGATCTGCACAGGGCTTGTTTGTTTTGAATAACAAAGTAAACTCCTTTTGTTCCAGTTATTTGAATAAGATTTAAGGAAGTAGAGTTATCTAAGACCTTCATTCATGTTTTTTCCTCATTCCCTCCCTCACAGTGGCTGTGATTTGGTTCCTGGCTCTGTATGGAGATTGTAGAAACTGCCCGTGTTCTCCATGGCCCTTGGTATCTGTCTTATGTTCTGGGCTCTCTCCAGCCTGACCTCCCCATCTCTGCTGTGCCCACTCAATTCCAGACCCAGCAGGGCCTTTCCTGGCATCTCTGGGGATATTACAAGACTCAGGCGGCAAAACTGTGTTTAAAAACACGTATCCTCATGCTGGTGAGGAAAGGATTACACAAATAGCATACTTTAATTTCTATCTGTCTGATATGGCCCATCTAATGCTACAGTACGAGTCAGCAGAGATTCCTGGCAGAGCAAGTGCTAAACAAAGCGTGTGAGGCTTTCAATTACTTGATAAGTTATCTGTATTTTTGTGCATTTCCAACCCTCCAGATGAATTTTCTGCACTGCCCCTTGCTAGTGCCTGCCCTGCAAACAGCTGCCTCCTGCATCTTCCCGCTCCCAGTCGTGTTACTCAGCTCAGACCCACGCGATTCTTAGAGGTGAAAAAAGAAAATACAATCATCTCAGTGGCATCCTTTGCCATTGGTGTCTCTGCTTTTGTGCTGATGGTCCCACCTGCTTGGGGTTTGTGTGATTCAAAACGTGGCTTAACTGAGATGTCTCTTGTCCTTTCTGACCACATGGGCCCTCTCAGACTTTGCTGCTCAAGCCAAGTTTGGTGTTGCTGGTTGAGTAAGCTCAGGTCATATCCAGAGCCCAGTGTTTCAGAGGTTTTCTGCTCCCTGTGAAGCCAATTCCCTTGCAGGGCAGTACAGAGACTGCAGCAGAACCCTCCCTATCCGAGAGTTCTCAGGAGGCCCTCTTTCTGGTTAAGGTCTTAAAAGGGAATTAACTTTTTTGAAGGTCATTGGGCACCTACGTACATGTATGTGTGGATTCTAAATGCTGATGTGGCATCTTCCACTGTGTCTTTAGGAAATCCCGTTCCTGGGAGAACCTCAGAGACTTGAGTCCCTTCTCTTCTCAAGAAGAAAAAGGATGATAAAATGGTGAAAATACAAAAATCGTAAATATATCAGAAAGCATAACCTCAGAGATCAGTTTGTTCATTCCCCTGCCAGCGAAGGAGCCTTCTGCCTGATCCCTTCTCCAGTCTCCATTCCAGTTCTCTCCATGTGATGGGTTTCCCTTGCGTCCCCGCGGCATTTATTCCACAGCCTAATAGATCTGCCCATTAGGAAATGTTTGCTGAGGTTTAATCTCAACTTTCCTTTGTTCTAGTTTATTCCGTAACACCACGAGCTGTGGTGGAATTGATGGGACTTGGAGCCGTGCCTTTTTTCACAGAGAAGTGCAGAGCAATAACAGACGAGGTGACAAAGAAATTAAAGGAAGTAGATGTGAGTTTGCCAGAGGCCTCTGTTTTTGAATGTATGTGTGTATATATCGATATATTTATATAGATATTTGGCAATAAGGAACCTCTGAAGTCCTCCTTGAGTGTTTGGAGCATTATTCAGCAGGTACCAGCTATCCCAGGTCTTCCCACATAGCCACTGAGGCTTGCAGGGAGTTTAAAGAGAAACTTCCAGAGGAGGCAAGTTTTGATGTCATGTCCAGATGCAAAGGCTAAAGAATGGCTGGCCCTGAATTTTGGACTAAAAGCTGTCATTTCAGCATCCTCTGACCTACCTAAATGCCCCAGAACTTCAAAAAGAATATGATGCCGGGTAACTTACACCAGTTATTTTCCTGAACCAATGGAGTAATCACAATTAAAAACAAGAGGGGTCACACAATATATAAATTAATCTGGGCCTATGAACACCAGCGTTTCACAGGATCTCCCCTCCTGCCACTAAAGCCCCGATGCCACCGGGGCGGGCAGAAAGGTACGAGACGAGGAACAAAGCAGCCATGTCGCGTAACAGCGACCAGAGACACCGACGGCCAAAAAACGCCTCTTACCTGGTCTGCAGACGGGCAGGGGGTCTCGTCGGGGCTTCCTTACAGCAATCTTGAAGGAAGAAAGGAAAGAAGGGGGAAAAATGTTCTTTGTCGAGTGAGGAAACGTGCCGATTTGGGAAGCCAAGAGGGGAACGGGCAACACCATCCAGTGAGCTGTCTGACATTCGCTAACCTCCGGCTGCTGGTTTCTTTGAAATGTGACCTGTTTCCTTGTTGCGCAGGAAAGGAAAGAAGAGAAAATAAAAGCTGTGCAGCTCTGAGGAGCGAAAGAGCTCTGAGACCTTCTCAGAACCTTCTCAGGGGTCTCCTGTGGAAGAAAACAAATCAGAGGATGGTGGTGAAGAGCTGTTGTTGTTTAAACAGATGTGTCGGGGTGTTGTTGGGAGAGCGAAGCTCTCTTCTTCCTCATTGAGCAGATGTTCATAGGGAAGTGAGTGTTTTTGCACAAGTGTCTCTGCCACCATGCCATGGTGGGTCCCTTGGAAGTCACAAGTGGGTAAGGAGAGCTTAGTTTCTTTGGATTTTCCCCATATAGGCAGGAGGCTGCTGAGAAAGGCCCTCTGTGTGAGGATGCTCTGGAGTGGCAGTTGTGATGGTCAAGACCTGGCTCAGTAATCCAAGAAGCTTCTCCAAGACGCCTGTTTTTCCTGCTCTGCTTTCTGATTAGCTCTTTGTAGTGCCAAAATAGCCGTAACACAAACAGCTGGGCTGAGAACCATCCAACACCGGTCCCACCGAACAGTGCTTATTTTTTGGCAGGGTTTTCAGCTGCTTCTCAAGGGTAATTTCCCTTTCCAGGAAAGGGCAAGTCTCCCCCATCCAGAAGATGAAACCAACTGGTTTCATCACCAGCTCAGTCCTACCTGACAACTCGTCAGCCTGGGAGAGATGGGGAAAGAGTCAGTGTTCAGTGCCAACTCTTGGTGACGGGAGAAAGGACACAGCGCCGTGACTCCTTCCTGCTGAAGGCAAAGAGGTGCCCCAATGAGATGGACAGGGAATCCCAAAGTGTCTCGCTGTTGCAGGCAGAAGAATCTGGACTGAAGTTCTGGGCCCCTCAGTTCAAGAACGACAGGGAACTACTGGAAAGAGTCCAGTGGAGGCTGCAAAGATGACCTACAGGGAACTACTGGAAAGAGTCCAGTAGTTGGACTCTTGGAGGCTGCAAAGATGATCAAGGGACTGGAACATCTCTCTGCTGATGAAAAGCTGAGACCTGGGGCTGTTCAGCTGGAGAAGAGCAGACTGAGAGGGGATCTCATCGATGCTGAGCAATTTCTAAAGGACGGGTGGCAAGAGCACGGGGCCAGACTCTTCTCAGTGGTGCCTGGGGACAGGACAAGGGGCAACGGGCACAAACTGGAACAGGGGAAATTCCATCTCAACATGGGAGGAACCTCTTTCCTGTGAGGGTGGCAGAGCCCTGGAACAGGTTACCTATAATGGTTGAGGAGTCTCCTTCTGTGGAGATATTCAAACTTGCCTGGATGTGTTCCTGTGCCACCTGCTCTGGGTGGACCTGCTCTGGCAGGGGGTTGGAGGAGATGATCCCTTCCAACCCCTACAATTCTGTCAAGAAGTTGGGATCAGGGCTTTGATCGTGTCAGGCTGAGCTTGCTGATGTTAAGACTGATTGGGATAAAAAGGTAAGGTTAGATCATCAAAGTGCAAGCTCTCCGTGAGCGTTACTCACTGTGTGGCATTTCATTGCCAAATCCCCCTTGAGGACCCCTTTGTTTACATTCTGAGGTGGAGCCCTACACGATGTTTACTCCGAAATCCCAATTAAAGGTTTTTCCAAGGACGAGGTGAGATCCTGAGATAGAAGGGATGAGTCACTTAGTTTACAAGGGTGAAAATGCAACATCCCAGCCTCACAGGGCGAAGGGGGAAGCTCTCAGCTCTCACCTGCACATCTGTCCTTTGCCCAAAATCCCCACAAAGTTTGGGTGACGTACAACGATCTTGATAATCGCTCGCTGGCAGCTGCGCTTTCAAAGCTGGCGGTGGCTCTCTTCAAGCTGGAGTTACAAGTTTGGGAGACACCAACACAATGTTATCTAACACCTGGGATTAATTAGGGCTGAGTTGTACTCTCGGGCAATTAGTTTGCATGTCTCTACACTAGTGGAAAACCCAAAAAAGCCATTTGTTTACAGCTGGGTTTCACTTGCAGGTTCTCAACCTGCAGTATTTGGGTTACGAGCGAAGTGGAGGAGTTTGTTTGTTACAGCGGCAGCTAAAAGACTGAATGGAGCATTGTTAGGTCCTGTAAAACCATAAAAAGGGCTAGTCTGTGGCTAAGTAGCCAGTCCCGACGTGGACTCAGGGCCGGGCTGTGATGTAGAGCCAGAGCTGGGAACTTTGCCCAGGCCCTGAAGTTTAGATGTAGCAAGAGAGAGTTTCTTTTATTTCTATTTTTCATACAAAATGGTTGTACAGAATTGCCCCATCAGGGCTATCGTTCCTTAAGTGTTTTAATGGCCACCAGGACAGAGTTTGCAGCCTTAAAAAATGAGCGCTGGCCTAGGACAGAGTTTGCAGCCTTAAAAAATGAGCACTGGCCTGAGTGAATAATGACAGGAGCAGAGGAAATGGTCTGAAGTTGGGGCAGGGGAGGTTTAGCTTCGATATTAGGAAGAATGACTTAACTGAGAGGGTGGTCAGGCACTGGAACAACCTGCCCAGGGAGGTGGTGGAGTCACCATCCCTGGAGGTATTTAAGAAAGGTGTAGACGTGGCTCTTCAGGGCACATTCTAGTGCCCTTTAATGTTGGTTTGTGTCTGTTTGTTGGTGGGTGCGGGGTTGTTTTTGGTTGGTTTGTTTGTTTTGGTTTTTTTTGTGGTTGGACTCGATGGTCTCAAAGGTCCCTTCCAACCATGAAGGTTCTGTGATTCTGTGAGTGTGGTGTGAGCGGGTGCCCAGCTGGGCACCCTGGACACTTCTGGGCATCGGCCAGCGCCACTGAGAAGCCACGGTGCCAGGTTTGCCTGGGAGCCTTGCTCCTGGTGCTTCCCTGGGGGTTGGGTCCATCCTCCCCGTGGGGTTTCTACCATCCTGGTGCTGAGGATGTGGGACCTGACAGGCCCCGCTCAGCCTCTGCCAGCTGTAGCCACAGGAGGGTGCAGCGTCACCGGGGAGAGGGGACGGGTCCTGCTGGGTCCCTTCCAACCATGAAGATTCTGTGAGTGTGGTGCGAGCGGGTGCCCAGCTGGGCACCCTGGACACTTCTGGGCATCGGCCAGCGCCACTGAGAAGTCACGGTGCCAGGTTTGCCTGGGAGCCTTGCTCCTGGTGCTTCCCTGGGGGTTGGGTCCATCCTCCCCGTGGGGTTTCTACCATCCTGGTGCTGAGGATGTGGGACCTGACAGGCCCCGCTCAGCCTCTGCCAGCTGTAGCCACAGGAGGGTGCAGCGTCACCGGGGAGAGGGGACGGGTCCTGCTGCCGCGCTGAGCACAGGCTGCCTTCATCCCAGGGGTGAGGACGACTCCGGGAGAGGGTTTCTGGTGTCTGCTGGAAATGCATCCTCATCTCCTCACCCTAGAAAGAGAGGAAGCAACCGGTTGGCGCTGTTTGATGTTGGAGATGAATTGCAGTGGCTATCAGTTGCCTGTGAAACCCTTTTTTTTCTAGCAGAGTCCTGTCCCCTCTGCCTCTCTTCTGTTCCTGATCCCGTTACCTTTCCCCATTTTCTGGGCTTTTGTGCAGGTGATGGAGGCTTTGGAAAGGTGTGTGCAGCTCTAACGTGCCTCTGTTACCCCCTCGGAGACAGGTAGAGACTGGAGTAAGATCTGTTTTTTGAGCTGAGGAGTTGGTGTGGTCTGGTACGAGTATGAGAGGGACCTCAGAGCTCTCCTGGTTCAGGGTGCGAGGCTGGGTCCTTGTACATCAGGACTCTGAAAGGGGTTATCAAACATTGGAATGGGCTGCCCAGGGAAGTGGTTGAGGCACCATCCCTGGAGATACTCAAAAGACAAGTTGACGTGGTGCTTGTGGTGCTTGGGAATATGGTTTAGTGCTGTTTTGTTTTGGTTTGGTTTTTTTTGCTCAGAGTTAGGTTGATGGTTGGACTAGATGATCTTAAAGATCCCTTCCAACCTAGGTGATTCTGTGACACTCTAACACCATCCAGGAGGGACTGGAGAACCTCAGGGAAAATCAAATTTCCCTGGGAAGGCAGAAGGACAAGCAGTCCAGAGCCGCTCTCCGCTGAGCATGGAAGATGGGGTGGTGTCTGCAGCCTCCATCCCCTTCCCTACACCCCGGCTGTGTTTGGAGACAGGCTGCAGCAGCCAGAAAGCCCCTGCTCTGGCACCAGGCCACGCTTCTAGCAATTAGTTTTTCCCTGCCCAGAAGCGGCACCATTCAATTAAAGCCCAAATACTTTGTTTAGTTGCTCTTTTATGCCTGTGCTGTGGGGGCTCAGACAATGGCGAGCGCGGCCCGGGGAGGAAGGAAACTGCTCTTTCCACCCAGGCAGGGACCCAGCCAAAAATCCAGCCCAGCAATTGCAGCCCCTTTGAACTCAATTTTTAAACAGGGAGCCAGGGCCTTTCCAGTCTGAATGCCTTGCTCTTGCACTGGGATGCTCCAGGACTGGGATGCTCCAGGGGCTGGGACAGCACCAGGAGTGGGGCTGGGGGCTGTGAACTCCCACCTTCAGGCATCTCCTACTGGGAGCAAAGGATGTTTTCCCTTATTTTCTCAGGGCTGTGAGGAGGAGCACACCTACCAGGCAATACCAATTACTTCCAGAGCAGCGGCGGCTCTGGAGGTCCCTCCCGGGCACGTCCTGCTCAGGTGGCACTGCTGCTCCATCCGAGGAGTAGGGTTCAGTAAGGGTTAACATGAATTTATGGAAGAAAATGAATTATGGCTGTTAAACGCAAAGATACAACTTCTGACCCAGGTTCAGCCCCGTACTTTGTTTACTGAGAGCAGAAGAACTAGGAGGATATGGTTGGACTAGATGATCTTAAAGGTCCCTTCCAACGCAGACAATTCTATGATATACTGCAAAAAGCACAGCTTCTTGTCTAGATGATCTTAAAGGTCCCTTCCAACCAGACAATTCTGAGATACTGCAAAAAGCACAGCTTCTTGCTTTTTTCCTCATCCCTGTTTTTTGGCACCCCATGGCCAGCGGGTGGTTAGGACAC